TAATTCAGCACTATTGAGATAACTACTACTGCTGCCCAGTCCACCAGTAACTAATACTGATCCATTTGCTAATATGGATGCTGTGTGACTAGATCGTGCGATACTCATATTTACTGTAGTTGTCCAAGTGCCTGTTGATGGATTGTACAATTCAGCACTATTAATAGGATTGCCGTTGATGTCTGTTCCACCAGCAACTAATACTTTTCCATTTGCTAATGTCAATGCTGTGTGACGATATCTGCCGACATTCATGCTTCCTGTGGTTGTCCAAGTGCCTGTTGATGGATTGTATAATTCAACACCGCTGCCCGCTCCACCAGCAACTAATACTGATCCATTTGTTAATATGGATAATGTGTGACCAGCTCGTGTAGCATTCATGCTTCCTGTGGTTGTCCAAGTACCTGTTGATAAGTTGTACAATTCAGCACCATTGTGATAACTACTACTGTTTTCTCCACCAGCAACTAATACTAATCCATTTGCTAATATGCATGCTGCTTGATATCCTCCTGCGACAGTCATGTTTCCTGTTATTGTCCATTCTAGATAAGGCAGAAAAGTGAGTAAAAAATATTATTCGTAGAATAACTTCGAATTTCTCATATGCATAATTTGTCTATCACTTGATGATAGATTAAATGAGTTCAAACATTCACTGAACTTCTCTTTGTTTTTATGACTAAGATAAGAGTCATTATCAGATATTGAATCACATTAATGAAAAATATATTATAAACTACTTCATTAGTATTTTTCGAATTCTGCTGATGTCGCGAGCTAATGAAACTTCGACACTGCCCTACAATTCAGTTATGATGAATAATGATCGAATTTCAGGATTTTAGTGACCTTCATTCTACATTGTTCGACATAATGAAAACAAGATGTACTTTCACCAAGATGGAAAGATGGGGTATGCATGTGTTAAGGTGTGGATAACAATGAATGTCAATGAGGATATCACTATGAGTAAATGAATATATAATTCTGGTATTGTTATCATGAGAAAATCAGTACACTACGAGTTAACTGATAATGACGGAAGGTATTTTCTCAGGTTTGAAGTTTGTATTTTATATTGTTATGATATCTTTTTGAATTACTCAACTCTACACAAATGCAATCTAAAACATGAGACCAGGTGTTGATAGACATGTCTCATGTCGATATTATGTCTATTAGTACTTCAACGTGTAGGATTATCCTCCGATCATCTTGAGAGTGGGTAGGTGTAACTGATTATCAAAATGATCAATGAGTTCTATCGCATGAAAATCTTTTTATCAGCAATATTTTCATCTGATACTGTTGGAGAGGACAAAAATATTCAATTACTTAAATGAATGACGATCAAATTAAATCATCAAAAATTGAACCTATTTGTACTTCTGATAAGAAATGTTTCCTAATGTCTTCTATTTAGATGGCGATCATTTCAATAGCTAAAATCAGAACTTTTAGGTATCGTCATTTTTAGCAACCATCTTTTGAATCACTACAATTGATTTAACATAGTACTCACTCGGTATTGCTGTTGTTGAAGTAGTTGATGTTGATGTTGATGATGTTGATGTTGATGTTGATGATGTTGATGTTGATGATGTTGCTGTCGAAGTTGTTGATGATGTTGTTATTGATGTTGACGTTGATGATGATGTTGT